TACAAAATAAGTCGAAAATATTCACGATTCACATAGTATATCACAAGATATTATAAATAGGTACCAATTATTTTCGATGTTTTATTTTAGTAGACGATTATTATAGTTATGCCAACGTAACAATACTTTATATATATATATAATATATATACCACATATTATTTAAAATATTTTCTTTAATATATCTGTGCTACACAAGTATTGATCATTAGGAAAAATATAAAAAAATTTAAGTAATTCCTAGATCTTATATTCTTATCTGATTTTTGTTAGTGGGTATTCCGTTTTAAATGTTTTAATAAATTTCTATTTAATCTACTGTAGATACTAAACGTATAATAATATGTGAATATGCGATGATGTAACCATCGCAATCGATGTATACGCCAACACTTACCTCAATATCGTACGTCGTATTTGATGTATAACCTTTTTGAATCACATATTTTTTTTTACCGGCGATTTACAAAAAAAATTGTGATAAAAATTTATAATTACATAATACTAAAATATTACATTAAAATATGCATGTAATGATATGTATATGTACATGATACCTATACACAATTTTTGATTGAAGTATGTTAGGTAGCATACATATATATATTTACAATACATACATTATTATTTGGCATATCGAGTTTAAACACTGTGTTAGTATTATTATTTATTAATATACTTATTTTTTTTTTTTGCAGTCCAATAAATTAAATTTATAGCGAATTAAATTGACTATATCTAACCCGGTAACATGTGTGGATAAAAAAAAGGAAAATTCTTTGTAAACATATAAAAATGAGTTTTTATAATCTATAATTGCAAAATTAAAATAATATTCAAAAACCATATTTATTATATTATTACTATATTTGCTACCTATACAAATCACACGAAACCTCAACACTCAATTATAACAAAAACCATTGTTTGACATTTTCAAAAAATATTGTTAAAACATTTATTATTTGTTACAGTTATACTAGATATTTTAATTGATTTCTTATTTCTTATTAAGTACCAGTATGCGTAAGTTTAATCCAGTATATATTATCCTAACTAAAAATTAAAAATTGCTTAGGTACCTATATTATTATAACTAAAAATTTAATTTCAAAGTTACACATATTTGAATAGGTAACAAATAAAATAAATTATACATCTGAAAAATCAAAAGTTGTACCTATATTTAATTAAGATCAAATAATACCTAATAATTAAGAAAGTATTAAAATTACAATTAAACCCAAATAGATTAATTTTTAGTTATATAATATTATATAGAGATAAGTGTAGAAGCAATAAAAATCATATTGGGGGATGAGGTGACCGAGTGGTCTGACGCGTCCGCTGCGACGCAGCCGGTCGCGGTTCGATCCTCGGCTACCGGGCGGCATTTTTCTCCGGACAAGTCGCGGTGACCGGAGAACAAGTGCTGCCATCCCCCACCCCCGGGGCATGGCAGAAACCTACGGGTGCCCCATTCGAAATTCTGCCAAAAACAAACACACACGTGTTCCCCCCTACCGTTCCAAAAAATATACAATACAAACTACAATACAAATCCTACTACAGCTAATGGCCTCAGTTGCCGAAGCTTAAGTTCAAAAAAAAAAAAAAAAAAAAATCATATTTTCGTTACTATGTAGTGGTTAATTTGTAATATTATTGAAACTGTCAATAATAATAGATGAATTGTTATTGATTCATCACTTTTTGAATTCTTACAATACAACATGAATTGATTACCTATCATTATTAAGAATTTTTGTCACCTGCCTTGTTTTATGTCAAAATAAGTTCTTTTTTTACTTAACTTAATTTAAAAATAACAACAAATATTATTGTAACAATGATTCATATTTATGGTAAATTATAATAATTAATAACATAACGATTTCATTGTATTTAAGTACAGTTTAATAATATTTAGCGTCATACATTACTACTTAGACGTACTACTTAAACTTTAAGACATTAAGAAGCCAAGGTTAAACATAATTCAAATCAGTTTCCTATTTTCTATGTATAACTATTCGTTTATCGTTATTGTAGTAGATATTATACATTCATATTATTATTCATATCGTTGGTTTTCTAATATTTATTTTATGTTTAAAGTTATAAACATAAAATTGTTAAGTCATATTCATACTTTAATGATTGTTAATTTTTTAAAAATATGCTAAAAATTTAAACCATTACTTCAATTCACATCTTTATCTGCTTTATCTCATTAGGCATTAATTATTGTAGTAAGTTGTATTCATTAATACCTATTTAGGTTTATCATATTATAGTATATGTATTTGAAGTTTGAACAATAAATTTGAAGTTGAAATTTAGTCATCTGATTCCAAACACTTAAAATCATATTTTCTATGTTCACTTCACACTTTGTATCTTATTATGCATGGCTTATTTAAATGATCTTATGAAATCTTATGAATATTTTATACTACGGTTTATTGACAGTATTTATTTTTAAATGCAAATTGCGAAGAACAGCCGTCATTACTTATATACCTATATTTCTTCGTTTAATTAAATTTAATATTATGTCGAACAAGAATTTTAGATTATCTAATTTCGTATTACTTTATAAGACACTAACAAATATTTACTCTTATTATTTTATGATCTGCCCAATCTAAAATCTTTATTACACCAATTTTTATTGTTTAAAATAAGGTTATAAGGTTATATTATACTTTGTACAATCCATTATAATATTGATATGTTAAACTTATATTTATTTTTAGAGTATATATACAAAATGAACAAAACAAGAAGTGACAAATAGGTACAAAGAATAGAAAATAAAAGAAAATAAGAATTGTAAATATGTATAATTTATCACTTTTAAACTTTTTACATTATTCACTTATTTTATTTTAATAGAAATAAATTTGAGTAATATATCAATACACCCCATGTTTTTTATAATAGGTATTACACTTTTAACTTTTAAGTCATATTAATATACTATTATAACCTTAGTGAATACTTACTAAGATTTTACAATTATTTATTTAAATATAATGAAAATCAATGGTTTCAGGACGAAAGGAAATTGTTTTAGGAGTAATTCTAATGAATAATGCATATTATAAATAATATATATTATAAGTATATATAAGTTAGGTAGATATCTAGCAAAGGGCAAAGGCATATCGGTCGACACTACGTCATTATCGATTTCTTTCGCCATTTTATATATATATATTTATAGTATATGCGTGAATGTATAATATTTGTTTTAATTATAATAGAAAGACAATTTAAGAAGCCCTTTGAAAAACAATTTTGACAACAACCTTGAATAATAGAAAACAGACAAATATAATATGCGCAGTATATATAAAATACGTGAAAAATAAATTTTTTTTTGCACTGCATTTAACAATTACCTGCTTGCGTTTTTTCATAAGTTTTAGTATCAACATACAAATTTTTGTGTAAGCTAATATTTATATAGTATTGACATTTTACGATCATTTGAGTGTGTAGTATACGTCATATTAATATGACGTTGACGTAAATATACATAATTATGTATGGCTTAAAATGAGGTACCTAGTTGATTTTCAGTGTATTTTTTTTTTTCGACATATTAAATTTGTTACTAAGTAAGCTATAAATGTATTCCTTGACTTAACGAATTATATACCACACATTTTTAGTGAATATGCTTGCATACTTTTAGATTTGTTAATTAAAAGGGTTTATTGATTGATTTTGGAATTTTTCAACGCATAATTTATTGATAAAATAAAAGTTGTAATATTCATAACTTATAAACGTACTTAGATTAAAATCTTGATAGATAATTAGAAGAATTGATTTAAAATTGTATTCTTGTGCCCGCTGTGGTCATGTAATGAACAGTTCACGACCATCAATAATATGTTTGCCTAGAAATTAGAGGAGTGTAGGTACCTACACCTACTACGTATCTATATTGTAAATTGATAGAAGATTTGAAGATTAGAGAATCGTTTCAAATTTTTAAATTTAATAATAAACTTAAATGTTTAAGCTTTCTATAAATTTCAATGTAAAATCATACAGATCTAAGATTTAAAATAAAAATTAATATTTTTCCAGGTACATATGCCTAACTACATCTAGTTAGTACATTTTTAGATCATTCAAATCTAGCCCTCCTGCTCTAGGATAAAACAGTCTCCACATCGCAGATCGTCGGATATCGTGCGTCGGGAACACATTTCATTTCAATATTTTACACTAACCTAGTCGATTTTATGTTCATACGCGATTCACCCGCAAAATGTAATTTATCATCCGTACATAACAATATTATTTTGCACTCGGCCACGGCCGGCGGTTTGGCGGGGTTTTACATTCAATAATCTGTGCAACCAAAATAATTGAACATATAGTGATATGATGGCTGTTTTATATTGCCATGTTAATGACGTTTTAGTGAAATATGCTGAACGTTATTTTTCGGTACCTACTACAGAGATTTAATAAATAATACAACTCCACCTCATTGTGATTTGCGGTAAGTGCGGCAGCGTGTATTAGGTACATACATTTTTAATATACAAAATAAATATACAATATACATCCACGCCTCATCAGCTGGGTAATGACCTTGGTTAAGCCGTTCAGTACCTAGATAATATACGTACCGACGTACCTATATTTATCTCATTGTTTTCAATTTTAGACACGAATACGTTAATTTATGTCTCTCGCCGACTCTCCCGACCAGATGACGATAATAATAATAATAATAATAATAATAATAGTAATATGATATTATGATATAATATATTATGTTTGAGTGGTGTGACCTACCTGTAATACAACGATATTATGACTTTCCGTTCGCAACGTAATGTAATGTACATAATATACCTGCCTAGGTAGTATAAATTATAATATTATATATAGTCACGTAATTCAGTGTTAGTCGGGGGAGATCAACTGCGGCGGTATTCGACACGTATAAACAGTTAGTCTCGGACCTGTGTCGTGTTTGAAAACTGTGCCGGCATTATAATAGTATGGTCGTGTATAGGTAGTAGGTACCTCTATTATACCTACCTAATAACTCTAAACTTACCTGGACGACCGCAGGTTATTAATTCTTAGTTATTCGTTTTCTCTATCCCTTTGCCATTTGCCGCCGCTTGTTTTCAATTAATTGCTATAAACAAAAAACAAAAAAAAAAAAAACAGTGTAACGAGTGTATTTTAAATTAAACTATAATATAGTAACTAGTGAGTGAAGTGACATCGTACATCTTTAGTAGTCGTCTTTTTTTGTCTTCTCCTTTCTCTTTTGTTTTTTCTCGTTTTACATAAATTATCATCCTTATACCTACCACATGGAACGTAATCAATTAGTGTTGCTGTGCAAAGAACTCTTTCGACGTTTGATATCCGTAAAAATCAAAACGTATGCACGTAAGTTATAAGTAATTATGATGATCGTATTTAGAATAAAAGTATTTAGTAGTATTCAAAAATAATTAATATGTTGCCTGTTTAGTCTGATATGGTATACATAGTAGTATTAATAATACATATTATATTGTATTATATTAATTATATTATGGTAAAATAGCATGTACTGTACTTTTTATGTGTATATACGTTTACCTTTGGTAAAATATAATATTCCATATCTACTTTCGCATTACTTTCCATCGAAGAAGCTGGAACCTAATTTAATGTAGTGCTACCAACTAACCGGCTTGTATCTACAGTGTCGTACTGTCGTAGCGAACGATACACGCGTTTGTTGTCTCTCGATAATAAAAAATTAATAACAATACAATATTAAAATAAAATCTAGGTAGGCGCTGGCGACTGGCACTGCGAAATTTATGCAACTAGTAATAGACGACAGACGTTATGTCATTTTTAAGTTAACAGTGGGTGTTAAAAATATATTTTAGTGAATCATTTTCTGATATTTTTCAATCAAATTTCAATTTATATAAAATACAAGCGAGACTATACGTCAATACTTCACGTAAGATATGTTTTATAATATTATGAAATATAAAACAACAGTATAATATGATTAATATGAACCCTGCAAAGATAGGTAACAATTATTTTAAATATCTAGGTTAATACTTAATTGTTCCACCTATTAATTAAAAGGTCAAAATTAATTCCATTAACACCATTTCTTCGACGGTTTAGACTTAGAGTATAAGATATAATTATACGTCGTCAGTGGCGAAATATTAAAATAGCTCAGGGAGGCTAATATCATCCAAATTTTAACCTCAAATGCCCAAACAATACACGACTTTACAAGTAATATCTAAATAAATTTATAATTAATGAATTTTGGTACCTATATTGGCTACTATTTATGCTGGCTGTAGGTACTGAATACATTTCTCCTGACTTTCCCCTATTTAAAAGTTAAATTTAGCACAAATATCGGGGACTGAAAATGCCTCCCTTATACATTTTTAATGAAAATATAGAAATACCATCGGTAGGTATTCTGCATCATGAGTTTTCATAAATAGGCAATAGCTATATATACCTACTATACTTAGTATACTCGGTTATCATAAGTTATCATGCATAGGTACCTGGATAACTATTTTATGCGTGGTTGTTTAATGTTACACGGCAATAATCTATACTATATTGCAATCAATAATCAATCATTTAATTTACCTACATGCTACCTGGCTATCATATGATATCAGAAAATAACCAATTTATTTGGTATGTAGACACGTGATTTACAATATGTATTTATTTATTCTATATGAGTCATCTTAAAAATATTGATATTATCATATTGTAGGAAGTATTATATTATTATAATATAAATGGATAAGTGTTTATTTAGTTTCTAGAATTAAAATCGTGACAATATAAACGTAATAATTTATATTAGTTATTAAAATTAGGAGTTTAAGTATACTTAAATGATAAAAGATTATAACCCCCACTACAATCTTTAGCATATAAATAATAAATGTTATTACTTAGGTATTAATCAACTCATTTGTCATTTGTATAAAATGTACTTCTATAGTTCTATAAATGCAAAACATACTGGTTATTTTATGGACATTTAGGTTAATGTAAAATTACGACATATGTAAATATTAAATAATATACAAACCCATGAAAATGCATAAAATGTCAATGCTTGTACTTGTATAATAATATTAATAGGATGGTAGCCAAATTAAAATATTTCAATACATTTGAAAATTAATTTTATAAAAGTTTAAAGAATAACTAATCTTTCACCCAACATTAAATATTTAAAAATTGTACGGACTTTTTTTTATATGCATTGAATTTACATTTATATTTTATGTAGGTAATACATATATGCACCGTAATTAATTAGGATTTACATATAAATTTGTTTACATTTTATTCGGCTATGAAAATATTAAAAATTTATATACGAAATAAATACATAAAGCCACCTACTAATAATGCCGGTGTAAATTTAAACACCATGTCCGCCCTACTAGTTGAAATTTAGTATTTTGTTTCAAAATATATACACTGTTAATTTTATCAACTTGAAGAGAAGGTATAGACATTTTGAATTTTGATGTATACTGATTTATTATTTAGGATTAGAGGATGTTCGAGCAATATTTGTATTCTGTCTTAGACCCACGTGCAACATAATAATACCTATATGAAACGCATTCACCTAAAATCGTTTTTACGGTTTTGAGTAATCACTAATCTTAGAGTAAAATCCACCAAAATCACCTATTACAAAAATTACAGACCATAATGTTATTGGCGATTCGACTCATCGGCTTAATAATTTATTATTATTTGAGTTTAAGTCAATTAAAAAAAAAAATAGTTTAAGTGAGAGAACAAACAGTGCAAAGATATGATTTTTTGTTAAATCAGTCTTTTTAGTATAGAATATTTATATATTTAGAGGGTATTTACAAATTATTAGTTCAGTCCTAGTTGTGTACTAAGGGCGAGGGTGCAGGTTTTTTTTAGGAAGGCAACATTTTAGAGGCTTTAAAATGGTATGTTAAAATGAAATTATTATTTTATTTTCCACATATTGGTAACTACTAACTAGCAAGGCACAATGCATGTATAAAATATTATGTTGTAACTTACATTTATTAAAATATTCCCCAATTGTTTATGTTAGGTTTATTAACTATATAAAATATACTGTTAAAGTAAATTATATCATTATAAAAATAAATAATAAGGATTTACCTAATTTGAAGACTGATGGGATTTTATTACAATGTACATAATACATAATATTATTAGGTAATATACGGGCACGAAAAAAATTAAACTTTATTTATAATAAATTATGAGACATTGGCGATACGTATCGTTGGTTATTGATTATGATTTATGACCAATCCCGTTCAGTACAGTGGTGTGATGTGATGTTGGGGCGCTGGGTGCCTGGGTCACCACGTAACTGAATCATTGCATTATAAAACTAATGTGATATTGTTTAAAAACTATTTATTTTGGTTAAAACTACGTTCGAGTTAATACCTACTTGGAGTTTAAAAAATAAAAATAGTTGTAATGTATTATGTACCTATTGTTATGTATTGGACTTAGATTTGTAAACACTAACTATTGTAAGTAGCGTGTAAAATAATTTATTATTGATGTAAAAGGTCAAAGAACTGAACTGTATTGTATAATTTATCCCCAATCTTTAATCTTTGAAATTTCTATAATATGATACTTTAAAAATTGGTACATTTCTTCTACATAAACAGAAGTTGACTAATAATAAAAACAGAATAACGTGATTGTAAACCCTAAGTATAAAATACATACAGTGATTCGCCAAGCATGCTAATCCCTATTTTTTCCAAATATCAAATTAATTTTGTCAAATGTATTATTTATCACTTATCAAAAACAAATTATGTTTTGTTAAATAACTTACTGTTCTCTATATCATTATTTGAATATGGTATTATGTGTATTATGTGTAAAGTTAAAAATTTGAATTTTAAACTTAAAAATATTTATCATAACATACATTTAAATATTTATCAAACATAAATATTTTATTTTATTATTAAGAAATGTTCTATCTATACTTAAATGTAATACATAGGTAATCAGTACATGTGATTAGTTAATTAATTAATTAAGACATTTAGCATTTAGACATGGGTAGGTACATGTCACACGAGCCCATCATGTAAGTCGTTTTGTCCCTTTTAAAGCCTATAGGTATTTTTTTTTTGGTATCTATTAGAATTTCATAGTTTGTTTTTTCTTACTATAAGAGGAATGTATATTACTTAAAGACTAAGCTTAAGGTAAAGTGGATATATTTATTTTAACCTAGCATTTTGTATGCTATTGCATTTTATGAACGTGAGTTTTTTCATTTTCTGACGAAAAAGTCAGAGTCTTTGTGAATGAATATGATTATTTTATCGTCCGCATAATCAGCCACCTTATAGTAAGTAAATATATTGAAGAGTTGCCGGGAGGAAATAACTGCTTGAGGGATACCAGCTTGTATTTTATATAATATAACATATGTGAACAATATTGCTACTATGTTACCTAATCTGGTTGCAAAATGCCGATTATAGGATTTAAAAAAGAAAATATGGATAAAGGGAGCAGGATGTAGAAGTTTGAGTAACAGACCTGACGCTATCGAATGATTGAAAAACTTCTAAGAAAACTGCTGTGTGATATATTTTTTTTAAGCAAACTAAGCGATATATGAGACCAACAAGGGGATGAATCTGATAAATAGTCAAGTGTTCTCGGAAACCAAATTGATTGTCAGGAAATATTTTTTAACATGATGTATATGTTTTTAGATTGGATATTTAGTGTTAATAATTCTTGAGAGTGATCTGAACGTGGGTTTAAAAGGTTAACTATGAATTTTTCGGCGTAACAATATATATGGTTAAGAATTTTAGGTATGAAGATTTCTTTAATGTCCGACCGCTTACTTTTAGAAATACGGCGGCATTTGTAATGGTATTTGAAATTATTGTTTTATTATTTGATATAAAATTAGTAATTACCTCTTTGAATATTTAGTAGTTGCCCCATTGTGGTTTTTTTGGCGTTTAAATCTCCATCTGATTAAATTGAGTGAAAAAAAACCAATCGAATTTAACGAAGTGATAGAATGTCTGCAGGAGCGCCGGTGTAGGTATATAGTTTAAAATTTAAAGGTAATTTTATGGCAGCTGATTACAAAAAGCTTCGATTAAATTGATTACACGAATACAATTTTTTACCTGTGTAAAATATAATGGCCACTCCATTGTGGGAAAAGTCTGGGTGATTTGTATAATTTGTTTTGTAGCCTAGAATTTATTAAGGATAGATAGTAAGTTTGTCGACTAGTTTGATGGGTCTCAGCAATTATAGTTATTATGTTTTTGTTTTATAGTAGATTTAAAAGTTGATTTGTATGATAAAATGGATTAGTTGAAAATAACTTAGTTTTTTTAATGCCTAATATGTATGGATATTTATTATTAGTTTTTGGTTCTAGTTTTAAGTTAATTTGCTTTTACCTTCTTATGGTTTGATTATTTACAACTTTGATTGGTGATTTTCATATGTCAGCATTAGAAGACGAATTAGGCGCCGATGACGAGTGGTGTTTTCTTATATATGTCCTAAAGGTCACCGTATGCAACTGGTGCCTTTGGATATGCTAATTGAATTAAATATTGTACCATGAACTATAGGTAATTTACAATTTATTATATTTACCTACAAATTACTTAACTTTGTAAGTGTTGGCGATAGAAGTAGTATAGAAGGACATTATGGAGGCTCTACGCTGCATTAAAAATTAACTGATTGAAATAAATCACGATAAATTCCATTAGAAATATAAAACTACTCGTATAAACGTTTGAATGATATTATTGTGAGCATAACATATAACATTATTACTAGTATGCAATATGCATCAGATACCGGAGTAGTTATATAAGGTAGTTATATTAAAGGTAGATATATTTATGCTTTAATGTTGTATTATCATCGAATCCATTGTATTGTTAATTTTAGTACAATATTATTTATTCAAAACAAATATTGCATAATAAATAATAATTCATTATACTCGTGTGCACTATGCATAATAATATGAACTGAAAATTGTATTATTTTACTAGGTGATAATGATAAGACGTGTAAAGTTCATTATTTTGTTGGTATACAAATAAACAACATTTTAGATTTATTTATATAATATATACGTTATGAATTTATAACTCGAATTCTACAGAATATGACTTTTGAAAAAACATTAACCATTGGTTAATCAACAGTGCTCAGACTATTTGTATGTAGGTATATTATTTTATACAATGCATGTGTTTACAAGTTAAGTCTGTTGAAATTGAATATTCAGTTAAGAAAGTAAAAAATATTTAACTAACTAGATACCTATAGGTACCTTAAAAACAGTTAAGCAATTATTAAAATATTAATCATAAAATACAAAATCATGATATTGATTTAAATTATTATAAGTAAGTACCCATATATGCATGAAGAGGTTAATAATTTATTAATTATAAATAACTTATTTTTATGGTAGGGTGTTTTAATAATAAATAAAGGTACTTATTTACTATATAGGTAGCATTTTGTTCAATACTGTATTCAAGATGAGAAGCAAAATGGGCTTAAGTCCCACCAATAAAAAAAATAAATAAAAGTCTGCAGATAACTACTCGTTTTTCACGATGAATTAAAAATAAACTCTTTTTTTGTCATTAAAATATATTGAAGCCCCCCCCAAAAAAAAATCCTGGCCATGGCATTGGATTTATTGAATCAAATTGAATCCTAATTTACAAAGTACTATAAATAAATAAGAGTTACAACTTACTAACAAAACATTCACTTATAGGTACCTAGTCATGTTATTATAGGTATTAACTATTCCTACTCTCGAGTCAATAATACGATTATTAATCTATATTTATATAAATATAACTCATAATCAAGGAAATTTTAAGTAGGTAATTTTTGCGTGGTATTGTATCACCGTGTAATACAATTTTATCAAAACAATTAACAAATCTTGCACAATTAAATTTCAATTGTAACTATATATACTCTTAGAAACAAGACAATAACGTACCTAACTGAACTACAATTGTCTACAATTCTACATAAAATTTTTTTCCAGCTAATAATGATTATTTATAGCTGTGTTAAAATTAGTTGTAACACTTCACACTTGTAGTAAAAATAGATAATATTTTAGTTAATTTTATATGTTAACGCATATTATATTCAAGAATATTGTTCTCTTAATGTTAATACAATTTTTAAAATCCTGTTTAGCATTATTACCTGCATTAAAATTGTTAACCCACTATAAATAATATTAAAAACTAGGTAGGTAAGTCGATCTACTATACATTTAGGTGTCGAGTTTGCATCGCCATAGAGTAGGTCACTGTAACGTGTTAAATTGTATTTGAATTATAAATCTTTGTAAACATAAAACAGACTAAAAACAGTCAGATTATATTTCTAAAGATATTTTATAATGTATATGTATACTTTACTTATGAATATTATTATTTCTCTAATCAATCTTCAAATTTTTCGTTTTTTAAACAATAATAGTCTTACATAACAGTTAACATGCACATTAGACATTACTACATTGTTTTAGTACATTACATAATAGTATATCTTATACGTACCTATCTATTATAAAATAATAATTTATTTTATTATAAGACATTTGCTCATAATATTATTAATTACCAACTGAAATTCAATCCATGTGACCGGTGACATGTGACTATATGTGAGCGCTATTTGTACGGTACCCATATGAATAATTTCATAACATATAAGTGCTTTTTTCTAAGTCTTCCCTCGGACCTATAAGTGACACAAAACATCCTAAATAAAATGTGCAATTGCCAATTATATACATAATTAGTAGGTTGCGAGTAAAAGTAAACAATATTACTTCATTACATTTCTTCCAGTGACAATTTTTTCAATGTGTGTAGTACAAAAGCACTAACATCACACGTAAAAAAGAGGTTAAGTGGGTAGCTCTATGCTGTACATTAGGCGTCTAGAGTAACTATAGTGACTAATGGATGTGTAAATTTGAATTCAATAGTATAAATTCGTTGTATATACGAAAAACGATTGTGATAGAACGGTCTGTTATAGCCTATAATATTACTAAGTAGATATAGGTATATTTTATGATATTATTGTGTTGAGGGTAATCTAATTAATTTTACTATTATTCATTAGTACTACAATAGGTAAAATTCATTTTTGTCGAAAAAATTCATTTGAAAAAGTCGTGTGTATAAATTAACTAAACCTTGCCTTAATACCTATTTACAAACTTATTTTGTAATAATGTGTGAGGAGCCTTGTATTAAATGTTTAAGTTTTTTGACTCGAAATTTCAAAGTTGAAAATTGAAGCATTGTTTCGACTACTTATCTTGCCTATTTATCCAGACACAAAAAACATTAAAAAAAAAAACACATCATTGTAAAATCAATACATTCATCGCTCCTCTTAAAATCTAAAAAAGTCTAATAAAAATCTTTTGTAATTATATAACTCATCGAATTTAGGCTCTCTTGATATGAGCCAATACAAGTTGGTTTAGATTTTAGAATTATCTAAATTATTATATTCTCTTCTACTTAAGAAAAAAAATTAAATATGTTCTAAAAACAAATGAGTACCTCTTTTCTGGTACCACCACGAATCGGAGATTATAAAATTGAGTAAAATCAATTATATTGATAAATAGATATAATATTTCATAATGATACACTGTTTACGTTATTTAGTATATTTCTTTAAACATTGCAGGCGTAATACATTCATTTTGAATTTCATTTGTTTTTAGTATTGATCGCAATGGGTTTGGTAGAATTCGGAAGTATTCCACACTTGCAAAGCATCGGCTTTTTTTGCGGGGATCCCAAAATAAGCTACAAATACAGAGGCGATACTGTGGAGTCTCACGTGCTTATACTGGTTACGCTCATAATACCATACTTGGCCGTAAGTCAAAATAACTTAACAATGATATGCATTGTTCGGTGTCACAAAACACACATGTTATAGCCATATTCGTAATAAATAATAATAAAATATACTATTAAGATTGATAAATACGATAAAATATGCACACAGGCAATGATGACCGAATACTTCACGAAAGAAAAAAACAAATTTGATTCTGAACAGTATGAATGGCTTAAAGAATCGTTGCGGTGGTATCGGCAGTATATCTTAGGACTGATATTCGTATTTTTTATAACAGACGTCGGCAAACTTCTGATTGGTGAACCAAGGCCACATTTTTTAGACACTTGTCTTCCTAGAGAAGCCGAAAACTGCACTAATAGGTAATTATCTAACTATAATCATTATACTACACTATACGTCACTACCGCTATATTAACTGAATTAATATAACATATATCAAACATTTTATCGGCTAAAATATACATAATCAATATTATACTTATACATAATTTTATTTCGATTAATTGTATTTAAAATAACATTTACATAATATCTATATTTAGGTATATCGATCGTTATACGTGTACGAACGAAAATCAAAGCACATATATCATACGAGATGCCAGCAAGTCATTTCCATCGGGCCATGCTTCCATTTCAGTTTACGGATCAATATCATTAGCTGTAAGTATAAAATTTAACATGTTTCTGTCTTAAAACTATACGACTTACTTTGCAGGTCTTGGCTCCCCATTATTATTATAATTGACTATAGTTCTTAATTTTTTCGCTACTCATAAAACGTTAAAAAAGTTGACTTCACAGTATTTTAATAGAGCTGTCCTCAGACGCTATGAGTACCAGAATGAGAACTCATTGGTTTTGTCACGTACGCCATAGTATTTTTTGACGGATGTCCACGTAAACCATGGGTTTTTGGTATTTCTTGTAATTTCGTAAGTTGCTTTGGTAAAATGAGTACCCTCAAGGCTTGAGAGTCAAACACGGTGAGTACCAATATTGGTATTCAAAGAGTGTAAAATGAATGACTTTAAAATAATTAGCTTAGGGTACAAAGTACAAACACTATACACAAACCATGTACGGTCCAGATATATGATGGTACTCATAGCAGTCAACTAATCACAATTTTATAATTTTAAATTGTAATTTATATTTATATTTAAAAAGGTGAACAAGTGACCAGTGGGTACTGCTCTGCTCTACAGTATGACGCAAGTGTCAAGTGGGTTACTGTAATAGATGTAAAATTTTAATTTAATGATATATCACTGATACCTACGAAAAATGAATCTGAGCGGAGACGGTCTGCATTTTGCTTAAGATATTATTGTATTTTTATTTCATTGCCTACACAAATGTACACAAAACTCAAGACAAATACAAAAGTTGTATTAAATTATTATTATTATCAACTATTATAACCTACAAGTCAATAGACTTATGAATGGTGTGAATAAGTTTGTGGTATAAGTTAGTTGAATATTATTTTAGCTTAAAATTTGTCATAATATTTTGAAAATTGTAATGTGTTCGTCGTTAGTTAATAATGGCAAAAAGTTTTAAGTATATCAATATAAAGTCCATCATAAGTAGGTAAAGTTCATACTTAAACCAAAAAATCTAAGAATTATATACAGGGTGACTCACCAAGCAAGCTCGCCCCCTTTTTTCTAGTCATTAATATTAATTAATCGATATAAATAATTTGTAAAAATGGCCCAAGTATAATAAATACTAAATCCAATTTTAGGTTTATTTTACATTTGTGCAAAAGCAGTTTTAAGGACTATTATCTTTTATACAAACATTTTAATAACTAAGAAACTACTCATTCGAATTTTGAATGTAGTACATCAAAATGTTCAAAAAAAATATCCACCAATTAATTAACAGTAAAAGAGAGGTTTCTCATTTGTAAGACAGAAGCTTGTATCACCACCACAGGATACTCCTTAAGTAGGACAAAAAAGGGTGTGAGCATGCTTGGTGAATCACTCTATATATGCATGCATGATTTTTTTTTTATAGACATTTAAACTTTAAAGTTTACATTTTGACGAAATTAGATATTCAGACGAAGAATTACGGGTTCAATTATTTTGTCGTAATGCAAAAATGTTATTCGTGATGACTTGACACTTTTACATATTATTATTTATAGGTATGCAATTATTTTTATTACATGCAGTGACATTTTAAAAACATTTACTTTACCTAATTTTATGTTATTGCCTATTGATACCACTAGCCTATTCACACCGTTCAACGGTAAATGCTATAACTGGTAAATTGGTATTATTCAAAAGTTAAAAATATATACTTGTATGATAGAATAACAAAATATGTAATGCTTTGGCAAAAGTTAATTTAATCTGCCGTACCTGCTATTACTAATAGTAAAATTAATTACTAGAACTATAGCAATATAAATATTATATTATGTTAACCTCTACTTAATAATATAGGCTGACAGCCTGTCTTCGCTGAGATGATTTTTTCGTATCTAATGATTTATAATATTGTATATTTGTATTCAAAATTAACACTGACATTACACTATTACAGTGGCTTACTCAATGACGAAGTACACTTGACATGCGTTGACACCTACACAACTGTACAGCAGATCAGTTGCCTATACTTTCTACCTTTTTTAACATTTAGTTATGATTCACATTTTTTAGCTGGTTTACTCATTTTGTTTGTTTAGTAGTTATAGATATGTCATATTTAGGTTCTGTATAACTTATAGTATATTTGAATAAACATGTCATTCATTATTGCATAATATTTGTACAAATAAAATAATATGTGTTGTCTCCGTCTTACAAACGTACAACACAGCAAATTTGAGTTCAGCATAATTCAAAAGAACCGTAGTGTCACTACCTACTCGTTAGTTTCAATATTATCTAGAGATCAATTAGATAAATTAGTTAAAGCCAATTGATATATTATTAAAATTATGGGTAAAAATATTATCTGTCTATGTACCTCGGTTTTTTAAGTATTTAAATTTTTGAGCAGCAAGTTATGAGTAATTAAAATATTAAAATTTGTTATACTCATAGCTCACTCAAGAATCGTAAGAATCTACATAGGTATAAAAATGCAGACAATGTTCTTGCTTTTAGGTTTGATAAATGATAATATTATGTCAAAAAGTAAATACTTGAAATACTCAAATCATTTATTATTAATGCTAACGCCTAATAAGTAACAACACAAAATTGGTTCTACTGAATTTCTGAACGTAAATTTTCTATGTTGAACTTGTGTAAGACGGAGATAACATGATCTATGAATGTAAATGTTTACCTTGAGCCTACGCCTTGTCCTCAGTTTATTCGTATTCGTTAAATAATATTTTAATTGTTTTATTGTTCTAAGTTTCTAACGATCTCTGTACAATAATATATTATATTATTATGTTGTCGCTTTTGCAGTGGTATCTACATAACAAATGCAAATCGCGTTCGTTGCTGTTAATGCCAGTCTTACAAGCGATGTGTCTGCTCTGGGCCATGTTCTGTTCTCTAACTAGAATCACAGATCACAGACATCATTGGTGGGACGTGTTGGCTGGTTCAATAATTGGAATTGTGATCTCCACTTACATTGTGAGTGTGAAAAATATTTAAATTAGAATATAGGTACATAAATTATTATTATTTAACTTAAAATTTTAATTGTATGGTCAATTTATTTCCGAAGCGTATGTATTAGAAAGCTTATGTATCAGCTTATAATACCAAAGCGATATAAGGTTACCAAAATATTTATGTTTGCATCAATGACATTTTAGTTTTTACCATGCACATCTATGTGTAAGAACCTATTGACATTACCTGCAAATAAAAGTAGTTAACCTTTAAAAGTTTAAATGCTTCCCTTGAAAAAATAGATAATTAATATACACTTTTTATATCTGTATATAATATTATAATATGATCTACATTCTATGTGGAAAATGTTCGTTCTATATTTTATTGATTTTTTTTTTGTGTTCACCAGAACGGATTGTTTGACAGACAAAAAAACGATAACAAATCGCATTCGACAACTGAAACCTGGTCCAACGAGACGACAGACAACGGGTACTTTACTGCTGGAAGACTCTTAAACGTCGTCGCCGATGGTAAAAATCCATCTCTGAATTTGTAATTTTCGCCGAAATGCTATTATTCACATAAAATACTCACTTTATATTTTTACACTGTACAGCATAATTGTTATTGAAACGAAAAATTATTTGTTAATTTTTAAACATCAGTATTCTCGCTATATAACTGTAAATATATATATATATAATATATTAATATACATACCTATATTACTATGTAAATTACCTACATTAGATTTAGAAATGAGTGACAAATTGGGACTTTGAGTAGATGCGTAGTTTGCGCGTCTTGTCCCATTATAACACAATATTTATTATTTACCAATAAGTACCTATATAGTTGTTTTACATTTTTAACTATTTTTTAATGTTCGTTGTCGTGTACATATCACTATTATAATAATGTAGTTTTTAATTATTAATTTTTTTTTCATTGAACCACAAAGCGTAGTATGCGTAATATGCATAATACATTCATAATACATATTATAATATATTAGGTAATTTGTATAATATATTTATTTAAATTTTAAAAGTGTTTAATAAGATATAACCTATTTGTATAATAATTAGGCGCACTTTTAATATCTGTCGTTTACTATCGTTCAATATTTACTCGACATATTTATTTACATAATGTTAATTTTTATATAAAATAATTTGTACCTAACTATTATATATAGAAGTTGGTGAATAATTTTTATCCCTTCACCTACAAAGTTAAACAAATTTCTATAGACGTAGGTAAATTTGAATAGGTATATTATCCCGTATAGTATACGTATTCTATAATACATGGATGTTTTTTAAAATTTTTTTTTTATTACAGTGTTATGTTTGAATAATAAAAGTTCCTTCGTAAACTGTACCCATATTGCGTGTTGTATACAATAAATTCCTATACGGATGTACGATTTGATAATGGTCATAGATCATCAACAAAGAAAGACATTTAATTCCATTTTTACTCATTAAAAGGCGAACAATGTATTTTCAATAGCCTCAGTACTGGGCCATAGTCATAAACGAGTAACTTAATGAGAAGAAAACATATAATAATTAAAATGATGAATTTTTAACGAAATAATGAGTTTTAAATGCATACGATCAATTTGTTTTTTATAAGTATTACAATATGTCACGAGTGTTATAATGGTGTGGAACAAAATAATTTTTTCGCTAATTGGCCATTATTTTTTATGCATTCTTATGAATTTATAATACTTGATGATAATAAATGGTTCGCAATAACAAATGAACAATGTGTGCAAAAATAGAATTTGCTGAAATAACATACTGATATTGAAACAATAATTGGACGACTATTATCAATAAAAACAATTTTAGAAAATTTATTAATATATCTGCGCATGTTAAATGTTATACACAATGTTATGCTCTAGTCCATTGTTTTAAATCATTATAAACGGGATTTTTTTATGATCTACTATATAAATGAGTAGGCGACTGACGGGTGTAGGTATAACGAAGATCTGATAGTTGCACTACTTGCACTTGCATATACTTATTACTTAAGAATGTCATCCCTCATTATCACTCAGATATTCAAGTTTAACTTTGACCTTTGTGGTATGTATGAGTCGAATATACATATATATATCTGCATACATATATACATTATACATATAATATAGGTAATATATAAATAGGTAGTTATATCTATATGGGCTTTATAGGTGTACCTTTAATTAATTACTTATATTAAAGTAGATAAATATAATAGGTACCTCATTCAATTATTTTACATTTTGGGAAATTTCTATAAATGTTTAAATTAAATAAGGCGAATAAATAAATAATAAGCCCCCTTTTCGTCCACAATGTACCCTTCCCTTTTTGGCCAGTAATTTTTTTTTATTGACATTATCACCTACTACTGTGTGGAAAAATAAAACAATTGGCAATAAACTGTTATAATACGTATTACATTAATCGAATAAAAATGAATTTAGTCTAATAATAGGTACCTATATAAGTATACAATAATAATTATAATAATAAAATATGCATTCATGAATACGTCGAAAGTTAAAATGTCCTAGTACAAAAGTTGAATAAAAATAAATATATAATCTTATAATACCTATTATAATAATAATTTATAATTATTATGATAAAACAATATACATATACCTAACTGATTTTCCATAATACCTATATTATTATATATTAGATAAGATGGAAACATTAAAGTATTCCATATTGGCATTACCCTATACTGTACCGCCATTACTATACTCTATTTCTTATACAATCTATATAGGACACATCACCATAACTGATTGGGCCACGTTTTACATTATATTACATTAAACAATTAACAAAGAATAATACTGGTCTATCTTTATTTCTAAAAAACCAACTATGAACGAAATTAAACTTACATTGAAGAGTGAAGATCATAAAAATAGTAAAATTGTCAATTGCAAATTGTTTTATTTTATTATTTTTTCACCCAGTTGTAATAAATAATTTTAATAAAACAACTGGGCGAAAAGGGAATGGTAATTTTAGCCGAAAACTATTACGCTCGAAATAAGCAATAGATTTTCATTTTGTGGGGTGTCTTGGGTTGTTTAGGAATTTAAAAAATATTCAGAGTTCAAACTCTGTTGGACTTTAAAGCGTAGTATTACAGTCATTCTTGTAGAGGATACCCGCCAGGACTGTGTTCATCTTACAAACGTTAAGGTATAACATGGTAAATTTTACATCCCTTCATTATGACTTATGACACAAGATGGCTTAGGTGCCCACCTAGATTTATTTTTTTGATTTATTTTAATGATCTACAATCTACACACAGGCATTAGCCATTAGACCAATATTGCAATTGCATACCTATACCTATACCTATACCTATTATAATAAAATATTAATGAAAGTATTTAAGAATCTATGAAGCTAGACATTCAAATGAACATTGTATAAAGAATAAAGTATAAGAAATTAGAAAATATTGAGAAAAAAACACATAAACACTATTCAGTTTTACAAGGTTTAATATAATAAAGTAAAAGTAGAAGAAGGATGTGTTAGCAATTTGCATGCAGCATAGGTACTAAAGGTACATTTCGGCCATATAGTTGGACGATGATGGTGGGAAATGGGAATTGTGATTTGTGGGGTAAAGAAAGGGTAAGAATTATAAAATACTAAGCATAATAATATATAATGAATAAACAAATCGATGTGTCGAGCATGCCTCTTATACTAGTGTTATCGAGTAGGTACCTTAACAGCAATTATGATTATAAAAACAATCGCATACGTCATTCGAATAATAAACCTATTCTGCGTCCAAGCGACTTCAAAAATGTTGAGCTATATTAGACATCCAAGTCGTAAAAAAATTATCTTGGAAACGATTGAGTGCCTATCGTCAAGTGTCTCAGTGTCGACCAAAAACAAAATAAAAACACCGACGGCTTTACGGAGAGATAGAACGAGGGCGCGTGCTACTTTTAGCCTCGCGTAACTGACACGTGAATTTAGTGATTAGTAAATATCACGGACTGTCGGACTACATAAGATATTATCTTAGTCCGTGGTAAATATCATGATTTAAGATATCTACTATCTTGAACCGTGGTGACTAGTTTGGTTACACAACATGTGTCCGGTTAATGGTTACAATAATATTATAGGAACAACAACTCTAGCAGCACATTTATATTTATACCTAAACATATTCTATTTCGGCTTTTTCTCACACCATTTACCTGAATTTTCGTATCAATGTTGGTTGATTAATTGATCATTGTAATTATCTATTATGAAAAACATGTATTTAGCTCATAACTTTATGACATATCCAAAAACATGTTCCGAATTAGATAACATAGTAAAATGTTTCCAACAAGTTAAAATTTCTTAAAATTGTTATGCCATTACTTCAATCAACCAACTTTTCACCTTTAAATAGCAATCGATTTTGGGTTTTACTTGAGCTAAATTAATTGCCACTACGATAACACTTTTAGAAGATTCGGAAAATATATTTTTTCTAGCGGCGTACATCGAATGTGTAGTCAATGAATATCACAATGCTACAAATTGCTATCAAAATCTATTGAAGCACTTGTTGTATAATCTTGACATAGTAATCATTGTGTGTACAAACCAGTCATGCATTTCATTTCATTCTGTGCGGCTCGCGGCTGTGCCCGTAGGTACGAGTTCTGATGTTACAACTTACAGGTAAAAATTATATACATTGTACGAAATCAAGTTGCAGCCATTTTTATGCAACGTTGCCATGCTGTCACGCTGGGAAATCATATTATATTATACTACAATATCTACCTTTGAGTACCTATAGAAGACAGAAGTTATTATCGATTATTCGAGACTGCGCAAGTTAACCAGTATGTGTAACTCGTCAAGTTAAGTTTTAAGTTATAAGTTACTTCTATTTCATTTCAACTTGTAGAAGTTACAAGTTAAATTAATAAGAAAAAGGTATGTTGGTGTAGAGTTTGCCTCTATATTGAGTAGGTAGGTCTCTGTAATGCAGGACGTATATAATTTGAATTCAATGATAAATCATTCTGCTTGATAAAAAAACGATTCTGAGCGGAGAAGGTCTAATATTTGGTAACCGCAGTTACCAAACAATCAATTACTAAAATTTTATTCTATGCTCCCATTTTCCCCCAATTATTTTTTAAATTGCTGAGAAATATCTAAGTACAAACTATAAATCTAATTTTCTACCAGAAATCTCCTTCGAAGTTTTGATGAGCGGTGCATTTTTTCTACTAGAAAAAATGTCTGAACAAAAAATATGAAAACACACATCATTGTAAAATCAATACATTCATTTAATTAAATGTATTTATTTCATAGAAACTAAGGTATATACCACCCATCAAGAAATTACTCTTGCAAACTAAAATTAAAATACAAAAAAACAATTTTTTCTTTATTATGGTAAAATACTTGATTAGGTAAATGTGTTAGAAAAATAAATCATTAACACAGTTTGTTATATTGCTAAATATCATTCTGTCAAATTCAATACATAAAAATAAAATGTTGAATGAATATAGATGAGAATAGTTTCTTAATAAATTGTACGTCTGTATATATATATAATTTATGCAATAACAATTGAATTGTTGTAAACTTTTTCGAATGAAAATGGTGAAGTTAGAGCTAGAAAGAGATTTCTTAAAAATATCACTAAATTTGATTTTTTATTTCTCACAAACATAATGATGTCTATTTTTTATCTGTATTTTTTTAAACTCTTAAATGCAGAGTAGCAAAGAGTAACATTAAGCTTCTAAGAAGCCCAAAATAAAATTAAAAATATAGGATCATCAATTCAAGAACAAACGAATTCTAGTTTTGAAATTGTATGAAATGAATAAAAAATAAAGGCAAATGAATTGTTTGAAATAAATAAATGAAACTAGAATTCGAAAATCACCAAAACGATTTACTGAAGAAAGCGAACTACATAATTTTCTGAGATTCAAGAAGAATATCGAGCTTTATTCTATGAGATTATTGATGTAACATTAGCTTCATCAAAATTGTATTAAAAATACATCGTTAATTGAAACTTCCAACGGGTTGAATGATATTTCCACTTTTCATGCTCACCGTGATGAAAAAATAAATTAAAAAATTGTTGCAAACTAACAGAAAAATGTATTGTTATATACAAAACATATAACTTTCAAAAATAAATTGAGAATTTTTTAATTGTTATTTGTTATCTTGTAATTTTTCATGCTATTAAAATATTATAAGATACAAAACAACAAACAACTTAAAATTATACTTTAGTATACCCACTTGTTTAATGAACAATTTATGTAAAATAAAAATGGGAAATGTATGGTACGATTTGGGTGAAACTGTACAAGTGTTTATAAAATAGTAAGCCCCACTGCATGCATGACATTTTCAAAACTGGTACTTCTGTTAGATACGGCTTAATGCTTAATCTATATTTTCTTTATGACCTTATACTTTATGAAATTTTATTACAAGGCTTCGACGTTTCATAAAAGTTTGGACTCAGATATCAGATAGGTACATCATATATACTATATAGATACGTCACTTATTGCACGACACTACAATCTATTCTGCTTAATACATATTGATATTATTTTGGCACTCACGCAGTCACGCATTCAATATGTTGGCAAAAGATTTTTATTTAATTATAAGTATAGTGAATAGTGAAGAATAAAACACCAATTTTTAATTAGTAAAAATGTTTGTACATCAAATAAAGTGTCCAATTACGTATGTGTGTGTGGTAAGTGTGAGAGTGAGATGAATTTGTGCATACGTGAGGAAAGGGGCGAAGAAAGAGTTTTAAGTTGAAAACGAAGTCAACAAATTTAAACAACTTTTTATTTTTTTTCCTTTGCCAGTAGACCGTATACTATATTTATAAATTCACCGGTAGACCGCATACTAGCTATATGACAGCCACATTTCTTTGATTTCCTTTTTTTTGTATTTTTTGTATTTTTTTTCTATTTATTTTTCATTTTTTAAATAATTTTTCATTTTCGTATTTTTTATATTTTAAGGCTTAATGAGAGCTTTTCATAATGCGTAAAAAGTAAAAGTAAAAATAATAGAAATGTCCTCACGTATGCATGTTCTAATCATAACTAGCAAGATGGATTGAGAGCAGTAAAATATGGACTATACAGTAATACTATAGCATACAACCTGCTTCTACTTCTTGATTGTTGGCAGAATATTACTCCACACGTCTAGGCAGTACAAAGTGTGTTGATTATTTTGGATAGAGGTAAAATTAAATTAATTTATAATATTACTTGAAAGTTTAGACACTAGATATTTAATCTAAAGTTTAAAAAAGCCAAAACTATTAGTGGATACTTTTAATTATCAAAAACAATTCCGTGTTGTAATATTAAGGTATTTATAAATAAACCAATGAATTATTTTCGATTAATTATGTTTTACGAAGTGTACACAAAACAATTTATAATATTCTCTTTATTAGTCAACAGTTAGTTATACCTACTTAAAATAGCTACTTGATAAAATATTCCCTTGTTAATAATTCTCATTTTTGTAAATTGTAATTTTTGCTGGTGTGCATTATTCGTTTTCATTGTTAACAAAATCAATTTTTCACATTTCATATCCATCACTGTCCAGTTACTGCTATACAACTCGAATATTATAGAATTTTTTTTAAAAAGCTATAAAAAATATATACATAAAGAGCAATGCATTTTCAAACCTTTTGATGCAACCTAAATGTAGATCAAAGAAAGGGCCACAAATCCCCGAGTTTTTTGCAAACCAAATGCATTAAAATTATAGTTAACTGCACGTGTTCACGACATTTTTACGCTGACGTATTAAACATGCATTATATACCTACGTAATACTCAACACCACCAACACACGATATGTCAAACCTTCGTTATATGAGATATTTTTAACTGAAACCTATTATGCAGTCCTTAAAATATGTTCCCACCTGAAATAGTTAAATACTTCCATAGTTCATTCGTGGTGTATAGGTACCCACCTAGGATCTGAGTCATTTGCATTTTATACTGTTATTATAACCTACAGAGCTACAAATATATTGTAATAATATGTTTTTCAATATAATGCAAAGGATAAAATATAATTTGAAAATAATAATGGCTTAAAAATTTTAAAAGGCATTTAAAAATTTAAAATATGTATTACTATTTTCTACTAGCAATATTATAGTTACTAATTAATAGGACCTAATTCCCATAATAACTATTTATATATACTCACAAATGTCTCTATTAATAAAATAGTAAGCCTTTAGTATACACATACGACAATTTACATATTCGAGGTATATTGACGGTACCTAGTGAGCTGAGTGCTAAAATCACACGTAAAAAAGCGGGTACGTAGGTAAGTGGTAACGCTCTGTTGTACATTATAGCTGTCTATACTGTCACTGTAATAGATGTGCTAAATTTGAATTCAGTGACATAAAATCATTGTATACGATGTACGAAAAACGGTTCTACGCAAAGACATCTGTCAGCCTATAATTTTACTTAGCACATATTATATTTTATATCCCACGAATAATGTTTTTAAATCACAACAAAACAACTAAAATTGTTAATTTTTGTTTGAATAGGTATTCAATTTAGTACAAATTTGACCTTCAATTGTCTATAAAAAACTGTGTTTACCAATACCTATATTTTTTAGACTCTTTGGTTACAGTATGAACTATTTACATCAGGGGTGTCCAACCTTTTGTGAAGACTGGGCCACATCGTACAGATTGTGGGCCACATACTTTTTTTTATTAACAATACATTCAAATTTAATGATTAAATTATATTCTATAATACAACAATACATCTTTTTGTAAACCACGGTCAAACACAGACGTGTGCATCGGCCCTTACAGTTTATTTGATGTTTTATATTCTTAAAATAAATTTGTTCTCGTAATGTTAATATATTATATATTTATATACCTACAATTAATTCATGGTTTTTAAATTGAAGAGAGGGCAGCATCAAAATCTACAGCAGGCAGCGGTTTGAACACCCCTGATTTACATGGAAATAGTCTTAAATCTTAAATGTACATACAAAATAATAATCAAATGTTATCAAAATTTGAACTTAAATGCTTACAAAAAAAACCAAGCCTATGCGTGTTTAATATATTTTCACTGCTATTGTAACAATGCTGATGACTGATGAGCCTTGTATTACATTTTTAAGCTTTTTGAACCAACAAACAATTTTTATTAATATATATTGGTAAGTATGGAAAAAAAATAAAAAACTTTTAAGTTTTAAACGTGTGTAAAGAGCTCAAAACGAATCAAAATATTTTGAAAATTGTATCAATCTTATAAAACGAAATAAACATTTGGTGTAAATTGCAAGTTTTTACGGTTATTCGTTTTTGAATTACAACGAAATAAGAAAATAGTTTCATTTTAGATTAAAAATACTATCTATTAGCAGTACTGTAGCTTAATACTGTAGTGTTTTCTTAAGTATTTGTTACAAATAACTAATGAGTAACAACTTTAAACAATATACCTATCTAACCTCCTTACAGAGATATAAGTGGAGCCTGAATATTATTAATATTTATTTTTACACACGATTATATTATATATTGATATATTATATATTTATACTAGATAGACCTAGGTATTAATAAATATGGAGGGAATCATCCGTATGCGCCAAAAAAAATGAAACATTTTTGTCAACAGCCTTTTTTATAAAAATTTTAGTAAATACCTGTAATACTTACACAATTTTTGAAAAATGGTAGGTAGTAGAAATAGTACCTACCTACATATATATGGGAGTAGGTAGTAGGTACCTACACGTATTCATCAAAAAATATATATTATATTGAAGTATTCTTTTAAATTGGAAACATTGTTAAAATAAAGGCGGGTGTTGTAAATTTTAAAAACAGCACTCCAAGCTTTTTATAGAATAATGGTTATTTATTATTTGATGCACATTTTTATAATATTTTTGTACTTATGAATTTCAACTCCACATGTGTACTTACACATAATAATATATAGGTACCTAGGTAGTTAAGCACTTAAGTTACATTATTTTTTTAAATAATTACCTATATTATGTTTAAATAGATTCTACTTATGACATAAAATCAATCATTACTAAAAGACAATCGATTAATGTAAATTATTTTTCAACGAAGATGGCCTGTTGTATTGTTGCTGTTATTACAAAAATGATGCCGTTGTTAATGTACTTGATGAACGACCTAAATAATTTCTTAATCATCATGATGAGATATTTGGAAGAATCTTCACTCTACAATACCAACTAAATGAATGCACTGTATAAGAATAAGATACCTGATCAACTGTAAAATAAATAATAAATACATGACTAAATAAATTTATTTACAACATACCATGATTTTAATTGTTTATTGTGTAATAGGTATTACTATTTATGTAACGATGCTGTAGTTACAACAGGTAAACCTTTTTTGGACTGAATGTTTCCGTTCACTATTATAGAGTATTGGGGCACTAATGTGCAAATGTGCCCTACTTTCAATGACAACAGAAAACCAATCTTAGGCCTTCGCCAAATATGCACATACATCGCTCACTTGTATATTATGACAGAATTCACTTTACTGTCACATTAAAAATTGATTCATTTAATGGTTTGCTTAATCATGTTTAAGAGTCCATTAGCTCACTATATAAACTAGACTATGTGATTCGTATAACACAAAACATTTGTTATGTCAAAAAGAATAATTTTTAAATTTTTTTATAACACATTTTTAATTCTTTATTTCAAAGCAAGTATTTTTTTTAGTATACTTTTATTAATATTCTAGTTGAATTTTTGAGTTATTAGGGATTAATTATGTAACCAGGTAGCCATATATATAAATAGTAAATAGCCTATAAGGTCAGTAATCTTATGTTTTCTAATAATTTATTTTAGAAATATACAATTTAAATCATATTAGTTGGTTGCAACATATGATTTAAGTTAAAGAAAAATTATTTTTAAAATATGCAGCATATAATAATGGGCTTACAGCAGAATTTACCAAACAAGATTTAATGAAGTCTGGCACTCTCAATTCTTAATCATAAATCAAATACAATATTGATTAAATATAATTTTTGTTTATAAAATTATTAAAATAAGAAATTTAATAACTCAATACTTTTAAATCTTATTATCAGTTTCTGTATGGGAGATACTACAACATGTTAATACTAAACATACATTTATACTCTACTATTCAATTGAAAAAAATGTAATATATAAATAAATATTACACATATTTATGAAATATTTTAATTATCACTTTTCTAAATTATAGCCTCATAATTTACTTAATACTTCCTTGCCTTAGGTAAGTTTGTTCATTAATTATATAAATACAGGAAGAATTTAAAACAAATAAGACACTAAATTGTATTAATTATTTTAATATGATCGTTTATATTACACGAAAAGGAAACATTGATGTCAATTGTATTAAAAATCAGAATTATGCTTTTTTGGTTGCAGCTTTCTTCTTTCTGAATTCAGCAAACTTGGTCCTCAAAGCTGTCCTCTTTTCGCTCCTCTCGATAGCCCTGGCAGCTTGATCTGCAGTGGACAAATTTCCCTTTAAAGCATGTTTCTGGTTCCTTAAAAACTTTTGACAAACCTGTTTAAGTAACATAATTGTTAGAAGAAATAATATAATTATAAACATTTGATGATATTAAGAAAATTTTGATTTTAATTTGCCACTTACACCACGACGCGATTCATGTCTGTATTTCTTTGGCCTGTAAATACCATTACGATGGTCCTTACGATCTGTATAAATAAAAAAATTAATGTTATTTAATAATTGTTATAAGCATTTAAAATTAAAATCTTACTTTGATTGTGATTGGTATGATTCTTCGACTTGGCCATTTTTCAAGTTTAAAAGAATATAATATCTAAAAGAAAATAATAAGATATGGGTTTAATCCAATTTTCAGTTAAATAAGTACTACTATTTACAATAATTATTTGACAGTTATTAACAATATTTAATTTATACTATAACTTAGTGACTTTTACATATTCTATATACAGAGCCACAAAAGTCTATCTAAAATGTTCAAATATCAATGTATTAGTTTAAAAATAAAGGTACTGTATTATTGATAGAACCTATATTTTTTCTTACGATATTTGTTTTACAAATTAATTACTAACTTGTAGTGAATATGGACACATAGAAACTAAGTGGTCCACATAATTTATTAGACAAAGTTATAAGGAATATTCAGTTTTACTTCAATAAAAATTTGTTTAAAAATTATTTTTACACTGACAATTAATATAAATACAACTGAAACTAAAAGTTTTACTTTTCAGACATAAAATAACTATAAGGTACCTATACATTTTTTATCAGATAATTCAATTAATGTTGGGTAAGTTACTTTACTCGTTACTCAATTGTTATGAAGTTAACTAACATTTCATTCTTAAAAGTAAATGTTACCATCACATTACAAAATAAAAAAACAGTTCACATGTATTCCTCTAATGTCTAGTATCTTGTCATTCGACAAACAATTTTAGTAGAAATACATGTAGATAAGAAGTATAACTTAAAAAATTATGTCCAAAACATTTTTTAAAATACTGAACTTACAACAGTTAATTATAAACTATTGAAATATTTGAATTGTATTAATGCATAATAACACTAGTCAAACTAACCTGCTTATAGGAAACATAAAATATTTGGTTAACATTTTGGTATTTCTACTACACTAGACAATTTTTTTTCTGAATTTTGTGTTAAGTATTTAAGTATACTGAAAACGATAGTGAAGTCAAAATTTAGTGCCAGATTTAGTTTCAAAGTTAATATATATTTGTACGTTATGTTAAATAACATTGGTTAGGTCATCCATAAATTAACTCAGGTTAACTCATCCACCACCTTAAGTGTACTACATTTTTTTACTTCCAGGGGTTGTTATGTTTAGTTATTATTATAATATTATTCATTCATAAAATTTCTGCTGTATTGAATATTCAATATTATACACATGTGTAGGTAATTAATTATATTCTCAATGTGAATTTGATTATTATGTAAACAAATAACTAAAATTTCATCTTCATTGATCACACAATTAAAGTAACTTTTGTATATATTATTATTTTAAAACATTGAAAATATGAGATATAAGTTGGGGATAACTATACCAGAACTGAAATTTCCATTGTATTTTCTTTACACAACAAAAGATCCTGACAAAATTACTTAACGAGTTACAAATAAAGTAACGTGTTACATTCATCATGTTACTAACCAATATAATGAATATTAATACTCTATCAAGGATATTACCAGACACAAATGTATTTTTTCTCATTTTTATTTAAAACCACAAATCACAATGAATGCTAATTACATTTTACATTGAAAAAAAGTGGATTAGGTACCAAACTACCAAGTAATACCTTATTTTGATGAAGGATATAAATTAGTAAACTAGTATTTGGTTCCTTGGTTTTAGTATGCATACATTTTAAATGTCATATTAATGCATTCTATTGATAAGAAATTATTACTTTTGTAAGATGCCATAATGTAAAATTATTAAAATGTAGTCTAAATATGTATGTCTATACCTATGGAAAAATTAAGTTTGAAAAAATACGCATACCTTAACAGTAGATAATTGTACTTAGTTTGTACCAAAAAAATGAAAATGAAATTAAAACATTGGTTCTAATATCATTGTTTTTAAATCAATATAAATTTCCAATTTTAAAAGATAGATACCTAACCTAATATCTGGACCATGTGACACGAGAAATTTAGAACGCGAAAGTATAACATTAATGCCGATTGGTTTCTGTATAATATTGATACATATTATGTTCAAACAAATTCTATTCAACTTATTAAAACAACAGTATACACAATATAGTTAAAAACAAAATAATATTTTAATATTTACCTTAAACGCGAAGACAAGCGGGATTGCCTACCATACGACGACGTCGAAAACTAGAAAATGTATACACTATCACTTGGTTCACGATTGTCACTCGTGTCTGCCGTTCCGTGTTCGAACCTAAACAAAACACGACGCCATTTATATGAAAAAATTGATAAGAGATCCTAAAATTGTAGATAATAATATGCCAAGGAGGATAGACACAGTTTTTTCTACCCAACTTGTAAATTTCAAATTTCAAAAATAATTCTAATGAATTTAATTGTTCTAGAACTATTGTTGGAATTGAAAAAAAAGTAGAAATTATAGTCGTTAAGAAAGTAAAAAAACGTGTACCCCACAAGGATGTGAAATTCAAAATCCTAATTTGAATTTCACATCATAGCCGTTGCAACACTGTAATAAAACGTCACTTACTCATTTATTTTCTGATAAAAATTTTAGAAAAAAATCAATTTTATTTGTGTTTTGTTATTACGTCCGATTATTATTTGTGTCGACAGTTATAAATTATTATATTTTTACAGGCACACACGGAGAACAGTGATCCGACGAGTCGGTTGTATTACTGTTGCCGTCGTTGTTTTATTAATATTCCAACCAATTGATTTAACATCGTTTTGAGTGTATTGAAGCAGTAACAAAAAATCGTTCAGGATGGCTACATTGCCTTCCCCTAATGAAGTGAGAAAAATAATTAATAATAAATTAAAACAAAATACTCTGTTTAAAAATAACAAAATAGCTGTTACCTAATCAATTTTAAAACTAAAATATTTTGTTCTAAATTAAATTATATTGTGATTTTATAATGTAGTGTATTATTAAATAGGGTGAATTGTTTACTACTTACTTGACTCCACCCTAAAATCAATTTATTTATAATATGTATTTGTATTTTATATCTTATGATTGTTGAACATCAAGGTTATATTTTGAACCATTTTTATTAATGTTCAATGTTAAATATATTTCATGAATAATTGCAGGTAGCTGGAAGTCACTTCCCAATTTATGAAGCACTTTATAATATGGTGAGTAAATACTTTAATTTAAAATTTAACTTTTTTATCATTTATAATTTAAAATAATATGAAAGATTGAGACCTAATCGCAATAATCTTTAAATTCCATTTTTTAAAACTAGGAAACAACTTTTACAACTTATTTCTAAATCCATTGATGTAGTATTAAAGATGCAATAATATATAATTTATATTATTACAAAATTGTGGTAACATTTTGTATTTAGGTTTACCTATTTAATTTAAAAATATGTTTTACAATTGTCCTGAATAATTTTGATTAGATAATCAACTGATTGTTGCATTCAACTCTTTATATTTATGTTATATACATTTTTCAAATAATCAAAGCATGAATTATTGTGTAAGATTTAGTATACCTATATTTTTATTTTCTAACTTTTATTTCCTAAATAAATTAAAATGTTGAATAATAGAAGAGAAATCAGGATGTATATATTTTTTAAATTGATCATCTAACATGATTAAAATTAAAACCTACTACAATGAAATTGATTCAATTTTTTATTTTATGTCTAAGAAGTTAAAGTATAGTATACAGTTACAGATTTACATAATTATATATAACATGAGTATTTAATGGTATCCTTTCAAATTAATATTTATAAGTTTTATATTAGTACTATTTTTTGTTGTAATGTAGCTGTTGATATTTTACTTAGTTGTTTTTCATAATTATCTGCATATTGGATCATTTAAATTATGTTTTTTGTTTTTAGGTGGATTCTACAAATAAAGGAAATATTGGAGCAATGGATGCAGCAAATTTCCTTAAAAAGTCTGGTATATCACAAATTATACTTAGTCAAGTAAGTAAACTCTTTTTATGTTTATTGTATACATTTCAAAGAAAGAAAGTACCTATAGGTACCACCTGTAATAAAGTTAAAATATATATATTGCAACTTTTTTTTGACTTTTTTGAAGATTTGGGATTTATCGGACCCAACTGCCAAAGGTTTTTTAACTAAACAAGGATTTTTTGTGGCACTTAAACTAATAGCATTAGCACAAGCTGGACGAGAAATATCAATGTTAAACATCACTCAACAAACTATACCACCTAATATGGTATAAGTCAAATTTTTTTTATTGGGTGCATGAAAACAATATTAGATTCAATTATTTATATTGTAGGGCGAAGCATCAAAACAAATAGCAAGCAAAATTCTAACAGCAGGTTTAGTTACTCCTGTTACTAATATAAATGACTGGTCAATGAAGGCTTCAGAAAGAATGAACTATGATAAATTGTTTGAATCATTGAGGCCAGTCAATGGAACAGTTGCTGGAGATAAAGTAAATAACGTAAATTTTATATTAACAGTACGTTTTTATTATTATTTCATTTTAGGTTAAAGGATTGCTAATAGATTCCAAACTATCAGTAGATACTTTGGGCAAAATTTGGGATCTGGCTGATATGGATAAAGATGGAAAGTTAGATCAACATGAATTTGCTGTTGTATGTATATTAAAGTATTTAATATTATTATAGTTTATCTGAATAAACTCAACATTTTTTTTAGGCAATGCATTTAGTTTATAAAGCATTAGAAAAATATGCTATTCCTAGTGTTTTACCTACCGAGCTATTACCGCCAGCAAAAAGAAAAAGTTCTAACATGGCTAACTCACCTGTACCTGTTTTGCCAGTGCATTCTTCTGGTGCTACTTCAAATCTAGTCAAACAACCACCAAAAGTAAGTTTTTTAATTTCCTAATTAATAAAAGATATTTAATTTGCATAACTATTTGTTTAAAATATGCTGTACTTATATTTACTTGTACAAATTCAACCACATTATATTTTCATAGATATTAGAGATATATTTTTTGAATATTGTTTATCATATAATTTTGAACTGTGAAGAATTAGTTTCTCCAATAATTTTTATACATTTTTAATAAATGCTATGTTTCACTTTTACTTTAGTCCATTACAATAATAATGTAATAACTATATAATTTAATAAGAAAAATCAAAAAATAATTTAAAACTGATATATAATTAAACTTTTAATACAGATTCTGTTATTGATTACACATTCTACCTTGAATTATCAATTTTTGTACCCATAAACATTGTTTTAAAACTTAAACTTATTATCTGAATTTTATATAATAAATGGGTTTTAATATTCTGTTTAAACCCATGTTTAGAGACCAATTACTCCGTCTATTGGTTTAGTGCCATTACCAGCTAAATGGGTAGTTACTGTAGAAGAAAAAGCCCGTTACGATTCTATGTTTTTGGAATCTGATGTTGATATGGATGGTTTTGTCTCTGGACCAGAAATCAAAGATAGATTTCTTAAAACTGGTATTCATCAATCAATATTAGCACATATATGGTAATTTTTAGAAATTAAGTCATATATTATTGTTTATGATTATATTTATTAATTATGAATATTCTAGGAGTCTTTGTGATATTAACCAACATGGGAAGTTGGATATGGAGCAGTTTAGTCTTGCAATGTGGTTAGTAGAACGTAAACTCAAAGGGATTGATCCACCTAATACACTTTCCCCTGAAATGGTACCTCCAAGCAACAGAACTGTTACTCCGTCAAATGCTGTTCAAGTAAGAATATTAATAATTATTGTTTTCATAAAAAAACATGTTAAATAAATTGTATTAATACTTAGAATATGCTGCTTCTCTATCAAAAAACATTTTAAATCCAATCCATACAAAAATTCCTAAGACAACAAAAACCGCATAAAAATATATATCTTTTTGATTTGAAATGTTTAGTTCTTTAATTAATTTTATCTCCACTATTCCAGCTAGGTCATCAACTTGCCAACACCTAAATATTGAAAAGTCTTATAGTTTATAATTTATATATCATAATTAATGTTTAGCAATATTGTTAATTGTTTGTTATTGCCCCGTCATCGAGTATTCAATTTATCTCCCCTTCACCATCTAGCGATCTTACTCCATTAGTCTTTATCTAATTTAAATTCTGAAATTTAGTTTTTTAACTGTATTTCAAAGATATCATATGTTTGGGTTAGTCTAGTATGGGATCTATTTATGGGAAAAAGGATAAATACTACTTTAAATTCTATTTTTTTCTATTTAACCATGTTAGTTAGTATGTTTGCTTCTCGTTTAATTATAGGTATGTATTATTTGAAGTGGGTACCTATCTTACAATTATTTGTTTATCATAAAATATTGTCAAAAATTAATTTTATTCAGTTATTTCCCTCAATATTTAATACTGGCATTCAATTAAAAAAAATTAAGAAACCTAACCTAAGATTTAAATACAATTATCAACTATGCTATTGTTAATGATTGTAAACAATTTATTATTATCATTTACTTTTATTTGAAAGTTTTGCATTGATTCATAAAAAATATTGTACAACGGGCCAGTCAACCCGATGACTTGTTGATACTTTTATATGACTCGAAGGCAAGGCGATAACAAACACCCTAATATTTATGTTTACGTAAATATCATTTCATCTTCTTCAGTAGTATTTTTGATGGTTAGTCTATTTAATATATCAACCGCTATTCGTTCATTAGATGATACAATAATCTGGTTATTTACCTTCCATTCATATGGAGCATCTGAATTTAAATTTCTATTTATATATTAAAAGTTAAAAAAAAAACTAATTAATATTGTTGTGTCTTAAATATAACTAATAAACTAATTTGATTCCTAACCCAGGACATGTAATAGTTAGTTGTTCGTTTAAAAATGTTATTATCACTGAAGTTTCTACTTTTGGTGGCAATTCCGGTATTATTTGAAATGGTGAATATATACCAGCAGAATTATTAACTTTTTCTTTTATGTTTCCCTGCATATCTTTTATCTCAAATATATCATCATTATTACATTTTACCTTAAAAAAATAAATTAATACAAATTAAAAATGCTTGTTATATCACATAACTATATTACTTGGCAATGTTCAATCATTACTCTTATTGCTTTATTCGTTATTGTAATACCATAATAACCATATAAATCTAATAGACTGCTTTCACATGGTAAACCAGTATCAAAAGCAGACATTAATCTTTGTAAAACTTGTATTTTCTTTCTGTTCTTTTTATATTTAATATTTCCTTCATTAATGATATTGTCTATAATTTAAAAAAATCTGTGTTGTTTATTCTGATTTGTTTTATATTTCTAGGTATTTTTTTAAATTATTGTAACGCACATTAAGCAAAACAATTAAAACTTAAACTTTTATTTACCTTTTAATGATACAATACAATGACCAAATTTAATTTTTTTACCCATCACATCACATTTGCTACATAATGACCACTGGGTCCATTGATTCCAAATTTTCAAATTGACATCTTCTATAGTTATTTTTCCACTTGTTGTATAGTTTAAAAAGTTAGTATTGTTCATCTAAAATTATCTTATACATTAATATTTATTTTGTTTAATAATACATTTATTTTGTATCTACTTACATCAATTATCAGCTCTTTATTATCATTAATAAGTTCAATAAAGTAAGGCCCTGCTTCACTATTAGATAATTTACATTGATAGAAACCACTTTTAGATTCATCCATATTAATTATTGTTAAAGACAAGTCTAATGATGAAACTTTAAAATAATCATTTTCTTCTATTAAGCTTAAATTATTTGAATTCCCTATCCATGAATAGTACCATACATTTTTATGATACACATCATTAGGCGAAATGCATAGTTCACATTCTAAGCTATTGATAATAAGGAAATTATTTATTATTATATATGTTATGGGCAATAGTCAAAATCAGACAAACCTCGGAAGTTCCCGGCAAGACGTGAACTGCAGTACTCGGGCAAAATACACTGAACTGAATATATTTAATATATATGTGTTTAGTTTAGTGACAAAATGTCATATTTATTTTACATTTGTTTATGAAAACCTAGTTGTGACCTACATAATTTTGGGAAAAACCATAGCAATTGTATATCAATAATGTAAGATTAATCAATGTTCAACTGATTTGGTACCACAATCAATACAATATAAAATAAATATTAACAATTGTCATAAAATTCAATTATTTTCATAACTGTTTCTCACCCTGGTTTTTCTATACCCTAACTGAAAAATCAAAATATGACATCAGTTCATGTTTTGTCCAGTCATTTCTGAAGTTTACTCGATTAACATACATAGTTATTATACTGTGAATTATTACATTAATTAAGAATTAAATACGTTGAATCTATTACCTTAAAGATGAGCTTCTAAATGTAGTTATTACTTTTGCTTGGAAAATATTATTTTTGTTAATACTTTTAAGAAGCTCTTCTAAACACTTATAGTACAAATCCCATAGTTGTTTGTTTTTGTTTATTTTTATAATATCGTTTCCCGGATAGTCAAGATAAGAACCTGGTTTTGGTCCTACTTGAGTTATTCCACGAGTTTTATTCCAATTTTCTTCTAGAATATTTTTTGTTTTTTTCCTTAGATTCTTCCATTTTGATTTTAAATCAATAGATATTATATTGTCTGAAAATATTAAAATAAACATTGTTGTAGAAATTATTTGTAAGTATAACATTTTAAACTAACATCTTTTTAGATTTATAGTTATGTTTAGTTGAAGTAATTTAATTTGTTGAACTAAACAATTTTATAATTCAATCTAGTAACCAAAGCTAGTAAATAACATTGTTTATTTGGAAATTTTCTTACTGATGACTATTGCAAAATTATACGCCAGTTACAGTTTTGCCCACAGAGTAGTGTAGTATTTTTTTTATATGAAATAGATCAGTAATTCTCACTTTTTAACCTTAGGTCTCTATCAAATTGAGATCACGGAAGTTTTTATAATGGGCCGTGAATGCATAATTCACATAATGTTATTACTATTATAATATTTCTGCTTGATTTTTATGAGTATTATATATACTTGTATATATAATTTAAAATGCTGTTCATATTTTGTTAATTTAAGGGTCTTAAAAAGTTAAATTAAAAATTTTAGTGTTAGGATAAAAAAGGTTGAGAACCACTGAGATACAGTATAGTGGATTTTTAAAATATAATTATATTGTGCAAATAAAATTGAACGTATTTTGAATAATGATTATATTTTCATAAGATTTTAGAAAAGCCTCCAATGTATTCAAACCCAGAATTGGATATGATTCAAAAAGATATTGATGAACTAGTTAAAGAAAGACTTATTCTGGAAACAGAAATTGCTCAAAAAGAAGCTGATTTGAAAATACGTTCCGGTGAAGTCAAAAGTTTACAGGTAAATGATTTTTTTTCTTATATGGTTTTTATTCACCTTATCGGTTTTTGTCATATCTTCTCACATGGGAGGGGTAGAGTATGTCTAGCACACTATCCCCCCTCTCTAAAAAGAGAATTTTCACATGTGTGGATGTCACTCCTAGTGGAGTGGAACCAGGCTGGGCTGGGTAGAGCAATTGGAATAAAGGCAAGGGAGAGACTACAAAATAGTATTTTTTGCACAACGCCAGGTTTGAACCGATGATCACACATGTTATGGCCAGCTGTATGGCTTGCATCATAGTACTCGTATATGATTTTTGATTTAAAAACTTATAAGTAATACTGTTAAAGAATATTTTTAAAACTGATGAGGTAATTGAAAAAAATTTTAAAAATTTTAAAATTATTAATACACTCATAAAGATGTTATTAAAATATTATAAATGTTCATTAATTTGTATTTATTCCGAAATAAAATTATTCATTTAATTATTTTGAGTACTCTTCAAATAATATTTTTTTTGGTCATTAAGTTATATAATAGTATATAGTTTTGTTTTACTTTGTATTAACAACATTATTATTCAATACCAATGTATTTTTAGGGAGAACTAGACACCTTATCTGCTACTCTAAAACAGTTAGAAAATCAAAAAGGCGAAGCTCAAAAACGACTGAATGATTTGAGAAACCAGGTAACCTAGATTTTACTCAAATTAAACCAAATATAATGAGTGAAAATTAGATAACTGATTGGTATTTTGTATTATTTGGTTAACACAAAGGATGCGTTTTTACTAACTCATACTCTTAACATTTTGTATTTGTCTTGCATTCTAGTCATGTAACACTGATTTTACTGATTGTCTGCTTATTAATTTATTATTTTTATTTCTCCTTTTAACTTGCATGTGCATATTTTCACAATTTTAGACTCTGTTGGTAGAATATGAAATAATCAACATCAATCAGAAAATTAAGGCTGAACAAGTACAGGTATTTTATCCTAAACCTTAGCTTAATCATCCAGCTTATTTGTATACTTAACTGCATGTTTTTTAATACATTTAAAGTCAAAAATTTAACAAGACTACGTAGAAATTCTTTACAACAAAATATAGGATAGATTGTGGTTTCCTATTTTTTCCATGATTAATACTGGAAAGTAAAATCATGGTGGCCAACATCGTGTTTCCATTTTTAAATATTGTTGATTTATGTAATTACTAATTAGATACAACTTGTATTTTCAAATTTAACCTATTTATAATGATTACCCATTTAAAATGAATTACAAAATTATATATTATGCCTTTTTTTAATCATCAGTTTAGTTACGGATCCAATCAGTTCCTGTTTAAAAGTGGTGCCTACATTTTTTTTTCAATTTATATTTGGGATGGAGCAAACAAGTTATATAATGATATATTTTTAGTTTTTTAAACATTTATTTGTATGACAAAAAACTACCAACCATAATATTTAATGGGGATTCCCACCACCATGTATGTTACTATAAATTCATTTTTTGTGGGTCAACATTCAAAACAAAATTCTATGTTAAGAAGATTTCAGCATTAACATCTGTCATCTCAGTGAAACACATTCAAACTGGAACAAAACCACTATTTGAATTTCTCATTCTGTAATCCTTTTAAATTAGCTGAAAGTAACCTATTATAAATCACATTTTCATTAAATTTGGTCTAATTAATGTTAAGAAGTTTGAAGCCACTTTCTATTCTTATTAACTATAATATATACTAATTTAGTAAAATATATTATTACATTTTATTCAATAGGTAGACAATCTTCGCAGACAAGCTGATGAGCAAGAACTCACATTAAAAGTGCAAGAAGCCGATCTTTCTTCTAAAAAACAAGAGCTTGAAGAGCTCAAAACTCTAGAACATAAACTTGAAAAAGATCAGGCTGAAATGGGCAAACGATTAGATGAGCTAAATAACATGTTGCAAAATTCACAACTACAAATAAGTCAGGTAAAATTAATCATGGAAAAAATGTTAAATACATTTTAATGTGACAAGTTTCATTAGTTTAAGAATAAAGTAAATCAATTGGAGGAGAACAAGCGTCAAATGGAAGATACAATTGAGTCTACAGAAAAAGCGTTGGCTGAAGGAAATGTTTATGCCATCCCTGATTCTTTATTAACATTTAATTTAGAATTTCGGGATCTTGAATGTAGTAGACTTCTAGGGAAAATTGTAAGTTACAATTTATAAATAATATTGTACCTATAGTTTGTATTAATTTTTCCTATTATCTTATTTTTTACAAACTATATAGGTTGATAATAAAAATTCTTTTGAAAATGTAAATGGTTTTACTCCTACAAACGGAGCAAGTGGATCACGTGAAGAAAACTCATTTAAAACAGGTAGTCAACACAATTTAGTTTTTTTTTTGTATCTTAAAGTTATTTAACTACTTAAAAATTGTTTACAGATTTCTTCACAAATAATGATGCGTTTTCCACAAACAATAAATCGGTATATACAATTATATAATTATAATATGATATAATTCTTGACTTATTTTTATTATCCTATAGGGGACTTATTCAAATGATCCATTCACTTCATTTGATGATTCCAGAACTAGAAGTAAGTTACTTGTTATCACAAAATAACATTTAAATTAGTATGTTGTACAATAAAGTATTAATTTACTGTCATATTATTTATCACGATACATTTATTTTTAGGTCAAAGTACAGATCCGTTTGGGGGTGAGACAAATGTATCTAAATTGTCTGATGTAAGTTATTTATTCTTTATATAATCTAACTAATTAATTAATTCAATAAGTAACTATTTTTTACATTAAATTAATACTTGTTTTAAATTTAAAGAGACATGAAAATAAAGATGAATTTGGTTGTGATCCTTTCGCCATATTACATGCCCCAACAAGACCAAGTTCAGCACCACCTCCACAGCGACCTGAAAGCCCTACTCCCGCACTTCCACCTAAGAAGGGAAAACAACCACCACCAAGACCTGCTCCACCAAGGCCTGCACCATATCATGCCCCAATATCTCACAACAGTTCTTCATCGAGCTCAGAGTTTGCCGATTTTGCAAATTTTAGCACCAAGGTAATTTGCTATAACAATTAACACATGGTACACATATTTTCAATTCCTTTCTTGATCTCTAAGAGATAAATTTCTTAGAACTTAGGTTTGTTATCGCTCCACTGGGAATGTTATCATTTTATTGCTCAGCCATTGAATAATAATCAAAATATTGTGTTAATTATCTAATAATATTATAGTATTCAAGAAAAACATACTATTACTATAGGTACTATGGGTAAAGTTAATCACATGGGTTGTTTAAAAACCAGTAATTAATTCGATACATCAAACACTATAATAATAACCCACATTGGGTCTCAATATATTTTTGTTCATCATTGTTCAAAAGTTTCCATCTTTAATTTTAATTTTATTAGCATAATAATAATAAATTGTATAACTATACTCTATTATGTACTAATTACCAATTTTTGTTGCAAGCTAATAACCTTAGCATTTGATGCTGTACCATGAATAAAAAAAAAAAAATAATAATAATAATAATAATAATAATAAAAAATTTTATATTTATAATTTTTGGATATATTTGTTAAAAAAATGAATTATAATCATTATCACTTATATACTATTACTAATTAGTTATTATTATGGATGGTGACGTGATAACAAAACCAGTACCATTTCTTATTTTAACTGTCCAGACCCACTGTTAAACTGCCTTCATTATATTGGTAGAATGTTTTTTTAGTATCTGTGGTAGGTAGTATGTATATTTTATAAATTTTGAGTTTCTTTAAAATTATATAATGATTTTATTAGATTGAACAAAATCATTTGGGGAAAGTCAAGTTTGAAATCTTTTTAAAAATATTAACAACCTGGTTGTTCAGAATAATATAATTTGTATTGATAAATTTAAAATACAATGGTAAATAATATATCCATAAGGTATAATGCAAAAGTGATTATTGTTACACTAGTAGCTAATAAAAATTTAATAATTAATACCTTTAAACTTTATGATTTACATTATTTCGTGTTTTAAATTTGATATAATATTTAAAGCTGTGAATAACCAAATAGAAAAGTATTTTGTTAGGTACACATCTGAATTCTTTAAGATATTTAATGAACTTACTCCATCCCAATTAATATTATAATTAGCTGTAATTATTTACTAATACTAATGTTTTTTCTTTTATTTTTCTTTTT